CTGGAACTCCCCTCTTTCAGAATCCCTGGAATACATTTTGGGAAACACTGTATTAGAGAATCAGTTAGAACTATCCTTCTGGCCCAAAGTGAACTGAATCCTGCAGGCTCAGCAATGTGCGATGATGGAGAAGCCATGCTGTGACTTACCTTGGAGGTGTTACATTAATTAAACAAGGAGACCATTAGACTGATGTGGCTCTCATGCCCTGAGAGCCTATGGAAGCAAACCAAATCATAAGCCTGTAAATGCCTCAAGGTGATGAAGTCAAAATGTTAAGGACAACCAATCACAGCCATCTAGGCTTTAAGCTACAGCCAATCAATAACTGCCTTACTTTGCTTCCTCCTTTTCACAATAAAAGTCCCTCCCCAACTCCTCTTGGTGGGGGATTCCTACCACTTCCAGTTTGGTGCTGTATGACTTGAATCGATTTTTTGCTCAAATAAACTCTTAAAATGTTCAATACGTGTCTTTTTTAACAGAGGTCACCCTTACACAGACCTGAAACAACCTATCATCCACGTACGGTGGCAAAGCCAGGATTAGAAAGCAGGTTTCCCAAATCTGGGTCCAGCATACTTCCCACACCACCATTTGGCTTGGTCTCAAAAACAGTAGACGGTCTTCCTTCCACTTAGATTGCCTTCCAATTGTTATTCATTTTGAAAAAAATAAAATTATTCATAGAAACGCTCAACTCCTTCTGGTTGGGGTGAGCCACTTTAATTTCCTGAATGAAATCAGTGGAACTTGCCTTTAACAAGAAGGTCAGGAACTATATTTAAAGTCACTGGAGTATTAATATTGTTGCAATTACAATTAACCAATTTCACAGCCATCTCTGACAGCAGTGGTGCTTGAGGGGAACTTCATGGAAGAGGTAAAGAAATGAAAAATGAATTGTTCTGTGTGTGCATTATTCATCTATTTATTTTCCAATTTTTTTCATGAGCTCATCTTTAGCTACATTTTCAGAGAAGAAGGCATCAAGTTTTAAAATTCTGCAGTCAATTTCCTGTTTTATAACTTCTAATAAGAATCAGATATGCAAAAGTGGCAATTTTTTTTCTTAATACTATCTCTTAAGAATGAAACAAAAGAGGCACTGCGGTCTCATCAATGCTACAGATTTCCTCCACACCACCACTGTACTGATCAAAAAGCATAACGGACAGTTCCTCATTTCTTTCAGAAATTGCTTTATTTATATTCGAATAAATTCTGAAATCTGGTCACGGTGTGTTACTTATAACCTCAGTATTTTATTATCAAGATTCATAAATTACACAGCATTTAGATAAAAAATGCATATCGCAGAGTTATTCTGGCTTTTTATATGCCCCCAAGAGATTAATACTAAATGTATCAGATCTGAGAGAGTAAGGAGGATGAATGGCTACAGGAACTCATCAAGGGCTTGGAGGCTTAACGTAGATAATTCTTCCATTCTAATGCTTTGAACTTTGGTTAATGATTATTATAGATGAAAGAGAATGTGGCTTACCACAGTCCTCAAAGATTTACATATTAAATTCCAAAGCCAGCAGGTAGAAGTCTGAAATAGGACAAGTTTGTCCTCAATCTTCCCTTACTTGGTTCACATTCTGGGGGGATCGTTATAATCTACTTTGGTTTTACATTTGAGTCTGTCCTCCTAAAACTTCCCAACCCTGGCTTTTTCTGCCCCCATCACTATCCACCCCACATCCTTCAAATCAGGATTCCTTTTCCTGGCTTCAGGTGTCTCAAGTACAGATTTCTTTTGGTAAGCTAAGTAAAAATATGACACAAAGCCATTTGTATGTACTCTGTCTCACCTATTGATAATATTCGTTGCTACTCAACCAATAGGTTAAAATATGTCTACTACATATTAGGCAATGATCACTGATAGTGAACCATGCCTCCACCCCCGCCCCATAAAACCTGCTCTTGTGGACCTTATTTTATGGTTGTGGTGTGGGGAAGACAGTAAGAAATAACCAAACAAATATACCTGTAGTGATAAGAGCTGAAGAGAAAAATGGAGATGGACAGGGTGTGTCAAAGGATTCTATATTAAATAAGAGATCAAGGAACAGTCTCTCTTAGAGGAGGAATTTGAGCAATGACCTGAACAACATAGGGAAATGAGCTACGTGGATATTTGTGGGGAGAGCATTCCAGAAAAGGAAACATGACACACAGTGCTCTCAGGAAAGCAGAGAGCCCAGGGTGCCTGCCGCAGAGTAAAGTGGGATGGGGGACTAAGCAGATGAGGTGAAACAGGGGACAAGGAATCAAATCATGTGACTGTGTAGGCCATTATAAACACCTGGCTGAGGGTTTTGCCTGGAGGACCATGATGTGATATGAGTGTTTTGAATAGACATTAGAGGGCTGGGCATTAGGCAGCCCAGTGGCTTGGACCACAGCAGTAGCAACAGAGGTTGTGAGAATGTCTGGAGTCTCTACGCATGTTGAACACAGAGCCAACACCACTTGCTGACAGACTGGATTTGGGGAGGTCCTATAAAGTATTCCTCACTTGTCTTCTTTCTTCTCTTAGGTATGGGAAAGTCTGTAAGCAAAGCATAGCCTATTTCTTTATTTTTCTATATTAGGTACAGGGGATTGTGAGGAATCAGGGATTTCTGGGCTCTATTTGGAACTCTACCAGAACAAGAAAGGACTGATCAACATTAGTGGTCACACACGACTGATGGTGTCTTAGTCCATCTGAGCTGCTGTAACAAATTACCACAGACTGGGTGGCTAATAAACAACAGAAATTTGTTTCTCACCGTTCTGGAGCCTGGGAAGCCCAAGGTAGCCACTGGCAGATTCAGCGTCTGGTGAGGCCCCACTTCCTGGTTCACAGATGGCTGTGTCCTCACATGGAGGAATGAAGGAGGGAGCTCCCTGGGATCTCTTTTATAAGAGCACTAATTCCAGTCATGATGGCTCCACCCTCATGACCTAAACACCTCCCAAAGGCCCCATCTCCAAATGTCATCACTTTGGGGGTTAGGCTTCAACACATGAATTTTGGGGTGACACAAACATGCCATCAGATGGTGAATTGTAAAGTTACAGACCATTCTCAAGAGAGAACTGATGCAGAACCACAACTTCTGGCCACCTAGGAGATGAAGTCTTTAGATGACCTTGTTAATTATAATGAGAAGGCAATCAAGAACAATGAAGAAAATAGTCTATCAGGGTAGGGAATCTGGTCACGAGGATTTGATGGACCTGAGAGGCGGAGGGAAGAAATCAATGTCAGTTAAGGAGGAGAAACCTGGAGAAGACTCTCCTTTTGTCCTATAGATAAACCAAACACCTCCTTGGGCATTTTGAGCTCCTTTTAAGGGAAGGCCTCTCAAGTAAAAATGAAGCACGCCATTCCCACATCATTGTTCACCATCTTACTATTAGCGAAGATACTGGGTACGTGTGGGATAACTGGAACATAACACACCTGGTCCAAAACGTCTGGACGCCAGGAATTTCAGGTGTTACAGAAATACTGATATTGGCTCAAGATTATTTGCAAGGGTTCAAAGGTATGCTATCACTGGCCTCACGGATCACGGCTCCTATCTAATAGATTTGCAAGTCACCAACTCTTGCCTGAGGACAAACACCCTTATCTGAAGAGTGGACATCCGTGGCACGTGGAAGAGAAATGGTGGAGGAAATTCTAGACTCCTAAAGAGGTTTCCTTGGGCTCTCCCTTACGTTAAAGGTAGGCTGGGAAGAAAGCTGATCTTGGAATATGGCACTTCATTACAAAATGGTGGGGAAATAGTACACATGGAAGATATAACTCTTGACTCCCTTCCCTACTTATCTCAAAGTCTTGCTTAGTGCTTTTTCTTCCTTATGCATGTGCAGATGTGCCTATAAAGCACAGCATATGCTTTATTTCTCTAAATTGCAAAGGAACGCAGCTTGCCCTACTGCTTTTCATTATTGGATAAACCAAGGTGTCAAAACAGCCCCTTCATAAGAAGTCCTAAACTCCCCACCTGTGGAGAATTTGCATAAAAAGGAAAGATTATTCACTTTCCATCACCTAGCCAAATTTCTGTGCTACTGAATCTATTGGCTTCACATAAAATTTTAAATGGCAAGTAGCCCGACTCCTGACAAAATCTCACCAAATAAGGATCAGAATCTCAAGATAGAATACTGAAACAATTTAAATGTTCTGTCATAAAAATAAACAATTCCTCCATAGACAAGAGTAGTATTTTCCCCAAACAGAAACAACCAGCACCTTGGGGGGAAAAGAAGTTAACCATGCATTTTTACGTAATTTCATGAAAAGAGAAAAGACACAGGCTGCCCATTAACAAGGGGCATGAAAAAACATTGCCCTGTAGAGGGAAAGACATGGCTAATTTGTAAATCCAAGTCTGCCTTGTATTTTCCTTCATTTTCTACTCCCAAAGGAGGTATTTTAATATACCATTACTATTTTTAGTGAGGAAAGCTGACTACCACTATTCAAACTGCAAGTCTGAATTAAATTTAGTCATCAAGCTTAAAAAAAAAATAAACTAATGAGGAGAACTTCCTCCTCCTTCACCATTCATCTGTTTTCCAGGTTCTTCCCCTCGTCCTCACCCCACGTTACAAGCTCCGAATGAGGATCTAACCTGCGTCAGGCACTAGATGTGCTAGATACACGGAGACCTACTCTTTACTCCCAAGGGGCTTCAATGTTGGGAGTTGGGTTTACTACGCAAAATGAAAATTCAAAAAGAACATGGTAAATTCTACACTAGAGATTGGAAAAACAACAACAACAAATAGTACAAAATCAGAAGAGAAACTTTACGGTAGTCCATTATTTTAAACAATTAACAAATAGTAATTTAGAGATGTTTTGTCCTTGGAAAAAGGATTAATTGTACTTTTGTTAAATGACCCAGACAAGTTTTTAGATTCAATGAACTCAGGTTACCTATTTGTGAACAGATTTCTAGAAAGCCACAACAATCCAGTTTTACCTTATGATAACACCTAAAATATGCAGCACGTTCATCGGAAAATTTCTCCAGTCTTTTTGGACCTTTGCTTGAAGCTTTCTTGAATACTAGCCAGCATCGCTGATATATCTGGGAGGAAATACAAAGACAGAGTTCAGCATCACTGACTGAGATATTACTGACATTTACATTCAAATGTTTTCTTTTTGATGTTTTCATGTGTAAAGTATTCATAAGCCATAAGCATCATGCTACTTTGGGAAAATAAAATTTTAAAACCCAAAACTGTGTCCACAATAGGCATATTATGTCATTTGATTGCTGGAATCAAATGAAAATGAATATTTAAAGGCAAATTTCTTAACCTTTCACTCAGAGTATTAGTAGCAACATTTCAGAAAAAGTCCCAGAGATAAAAATCCCAAATCAGCACAAATAATATAGGCATTCATGGCACATGCTCTTATTTCAAATGCAATTAAATATGGAAACCATGGGCCCAATATATGCTGAAGACTTCACTGACAGCCCTATAAAGAGATGGCCCCTACGTGTCATAAGACGTCCCTTATAACTGAGGGTCAAGAGTTGGGTCAGACACTAGACTAGCTAATAAATGACTGATAAACACCAATCAGATTCTCCCTCAGAAAATCCAACCCAGAAACTCGAAAACTACTGTCATACTGAGGCACAGGCTGAGTTGAGAGGTAAACCCTGGTAGGTTATAAACTGAGGTTGGCGACCATGTTGAATCACAGGCCTAATAGTTAAGCAGTGGAACCTGGTACAGAGAACTAGATAATTTCTATTCCAGGCAGAAGAGACATTTTAGTCCTTTGTCATCTTTCTGTTGCTGATTTCTCCTGGTTTTCTTGGAAATCATCTGTGTCCCTAGGAAACCACCACCATCAACATCACTCTTAATTGAGTGAGGCTGAATAGAGTTCTTACCTGAGCAACCAAAGCTACCTAGATTGGAATAACCAATATAAATTAGACACTAAAATATTAATCATACCAAAGAGAGGAAAGTGCAAAGAGCTAATGAGTAAATGAAAAACAATGTTCTCCAAAAGCAAAATAAATTGAGATGTTTTAACCTAAAAATTAATAAGGATGTATATTAATGATAATATTCGCTGATAGCAGAGATCTGAGTGGCACTCTTATACTCTGCTGGTGACCTCTAGAGGCCATCTGACAACAAATATGAAGAACTTTAAAAGAATAAGAATGTATCCGAAAGAAAAAGCCCAAATGCAGCCCAAATTGACAGAGGAATTCTGAATTCAAGAGCAGACAGGTGGGTACGTATTCAGTCACAATTATCTCCCTGATCCTTAAATCACCTTATAAGTACCATATTTATGTGGTTTTGTATAGTCAACCCATAAATAAATTTTATGCACTATAAAGTTTAAAGAACCTCTGAGCTAGTAAGAAGAAACAAAAAGTCCACATAAAACATTTGGCAATTCAAACCATACTCAATTTAGAATGCCTTCTACAACTTTATTAGCAACTGGCAGGTGGATGAGGAATTCAGGTTTGCTACTACTTGTCTGCAATGCTGAATAGATTCTGTTTTTCTCTTCTCACTCCGTAAACTAAACACTCATTAATCGTTTTCTTTGGGGTGGTAAAAAGAACATGAACTCCACTCCATGCTGAAGTTTTGCTCTGAATACAGAGGGTAAGATATGTGCCTCATCCTGCTGAATGTATAATTCTAGTAATATTACGTATAATAATAATAAATAGAAACTACAAAAGCCTCAAAAATAAGGAAAGACAAAGTTAATGATAGTATGTCTATTATATACAGTAAGTATGTGGTACATAATATATATAATACAATATAGATGTACGCATCTGTAAGATAATATAGGTAGTCATTGTATTAAAAATGTAGTAATATGAATAGTACACACAATATGTAGAGTAAATTATGCTACACCAGTAATATATATGTTACCTCTCTATAGGATACCATAGGTATATCATTTGAAATAAATTTCAGAAGGAATTTCTTAATGACATGAGAAAGAAGGGGGGGTTGCTTGTTTTTGTTTTGTTTAATAAAAATTAATACTGTAAAATAAATGAAAGAGAATTGTTATTTCTTAAATATCCAAAGGCATCAGTAAAATAGTACAATTAAAATCGATTCTATTGGCTTTCATCTTGCATAGTTATTAAACTTATCAAGAAATAAAAAAGCATGGAGACAGAAACAGAAAAGTAATTCGGCAGAGAAAGAGTAGCCTTTCAAACAACTGGCACTGGAATAATTGAATATCTAAAGGAAAAAAACAAATACAAAAAAGCACAATAAACAAACACCTTAACCTAAAACATTCATCTTACACAAAAATAAACTCACAATGGACTTAAATATAAAACAAAACTATAAGACTTTAGAAAAAAAAAGACCAAATTTGGGATCATGGTCTGGACAAAGAATTCTTAGACTTCATACCAAAAGTACAATCCATAAAAGAAAAACTTGCCAAACTGTACCTTCTCAAAACTTAAAATTTTTGCTTTGTGAAAAACCCACTTAAGAGGATGAAAAGACAAGTTACAGACTGGGAAGAAATGTTTGGAAACCACAAATCTGGCAAAGGATTAGTATCTGGATACATAAAGAAGTCTTAAAACTCAACAGTAAAGAATCAAACAATCCAATAACAAAATGGAAGGAAAACAAAAAACAAAAACCATGAACACACATTTCACCAAAGAGGATGCACAGATGATGAAGCACAGAAAACATTATTAGCCATCAGGTAAATGTAAATTAAAACCACAATGAAATATCAGTACACATCTATCAGATTGGCTTAAAAAAAAAAATACCACCACCAAGTGCTGAAAGGATGCAGAGAAATTGGGTCTCTTACACTTTGCTGGTTGGAATGTGGAATGCTACAGGCACTCTGAAACATAGCTGGGTAGTTTCTTTAAAAACTAAACAAGCAACATATGACCCACAGTTGCTGTCTTAGGAATCTATCCCGGGAAAATGCAAACTTCCCCCACCCCCAACACACACACCATCTGAACATAAATGTTCATAGCAGCTTGATATGTATCAGTGCAAAACTGAAAACATCCATTTATTCTTCAGTGGGTTTATGTGGTCCATCTATACCATGGAATACTACTTAGCTATAAAAACAATTGAACTATCAATACTGCAACAATTTGAATGAATTTTCAGATAATTATGCTTGCGGGGGGGCAAACCTAAAAGGATACATACTATATGACCCTATTTATAGCATTCTTGAAATGACAAAATTACACAAATGGAGGACAGATCTGGGATAATCAGGGGTTAGGGATGGGAAGTAGATATGTCGACAAAAGGGGAACATGAGGGATCCTTGCAGCAATGGAACTATCCTGTATCTTGACTGTATTAATGTCAATATCTTGGTTATGATGTTGCATTATAGTTTTGAAGATGTTATCACCAGGGAAACTGGGTAAAGGGTACAGGATCTTTGTGTAAGATTTCTTAAAACTGAATATAAATCTACAACTGCCTCAAAATAAAATACTTAAAATTTTTTAAATGGAAAAATGTAGGGATATTTAAGCAAACTCTTAAAATTACAGCCTAATCTAAGAACAGTTATCTACATTCTTCACCAGTCCTCCTCCTGCTGCTATATCAGACCACAGTGTAATTAACCAGTGGACTACGGAACTTTAAGCAGCCACATTGTAAGAGCCATTGGTAAGAATTCAAACATACACCTCTCAGGATAGAGACCCCACCATGAAAATTAACATTTCCAGTCCTGTGGTTGACACATAGAAGTCTTACCAACATCTCACTCATGTCTGAATAACGGATGAGACAATGGTCTCCCTGAAAATTTGACCACCACCACAGGACTATAAATACAGTGGGAATAACTGTCACTCTGTTTCCATAAGTGGAGAAAATAGGCTGTCATTCTACTATCGGCAACCCCTTTCTTTTGCACATGCCCCTGAAAATGTTTTAGAACTTGAGCATGCTAAAGGTATGCAAAAATATATCCACTGTAGTAAAACATTATTTTCACTTAGGAAGATAATTTACATTTCCTAATTATGCCTCAAATTTCAGACTCACTCTTAAATGATACCATTTCTAACTTCCTTTTATACTTGTTCATTTTCTTCACAATCAAACCGGTCTTTTCCTGGCTTATGTCCAAAGGCTATTCAATGCAAGCTAAAGACTCCTCAAATTCAGCATGCCTAATGATGCCCACCTTTGATCCATCTGTAGCGGGTTTAGGGGATTTTTGTTTTTCATTTTTTGTTTTTCTTCCGTTTCATTAAGTAGTAAGGGCAAAAGTGCAATATTACAAATAACGGCATAAATACTATTACATAAATTCACATGCAACTATTGGTGGGGGCATCACCGTCGAATAGATTACATCATGTTGGTTCATCAGGAGAGAAGGAAAACCAAAATCTGGCTTATGAAAAGGCAGCTCAGGATGTTTGTAACATACAAACACATGGTACAAAATAATGCAAAAGTTGGGAGCAATCGTACCATCAAGGCCATTCCTCATTCTGCCACACATCACACATCAGTGATTCTCAGTGCTGGTCCAGCATCACTCAAGATAATTGTTAATTATGTAGATTCCTAGAGATTAGCCAAGGTCTACTGACTCAGAACCTCCTGGGGTGGGGGCCAGACAAATTTGCTCTTTAACATGTTCCCCAGGTGTTTTATTTGCAATTTGCAAACCCAGGCCATAAATATTCATAAAGACGCAGACAACACAGTGCTTCCCACTCAGGACTGCCAACAAAGAGTTCTCCAACAAATGCTCCATGAGGAGGGCATCTGTGATGTGTGCTTTCCCACAAGTGGTGTACAGAGGGCTTTGAAGTCGAGCAGTGTGAGATGCTGTCATGAGCAGAAGAGAGATAAAGAAGCAGAAATAAATCTGTTCAGCTCCGGTGAACTCTCAACTTCACCGCTGGACACTCTCTGTCCTAAGAATTCTGGGAGAGCCACCTAGTACCTGAGGATTAAAAACTTACCCTAAATATCTCAGTACTCTTCCAAGGGAATGAAACAGGACTCCCTGAATATGGTCCATGGG